TGGAACACTGAATTAAATTTTTCCAATTTAATTTTATCATTGTAAATTTCAGTGCCATAATAGTAATATACAACATAAGAAAAACCTATCTTACCATCGATTCCAGAACCATCTGTAAAAATGTCAATTTCACCAAATTCAACAAAATGAAATTCATAATCAATAATAAATCTTTTAGCAGGGTGTATACAATAAGGATCCAAGTTATAAAAAGCAGTACAACAAGCAAAAAATTCCTCATAATGAATAAAATCAATCTTATTAGTAGATAATAAAAATTTATCATAATAATACCCATAAAATATAGACCCATAAAATTTATCATAATAATACCCATAAATATAGAAAGAGGCGGTGTGCCGGCCAAGATGCAAAGAATTTCGGATGGAGTAGTTTTGAAACACCTAGTCAGTGACAGAAGCCATGGCCGCTGAATTGTTAATAACTTATTCCTTATTCTTTGGAGTTCCGCCGCCTTAGAGCCCCAACTACCTATTCCATACATTATTATAGGTATGATAACAGCATTATAAATCATTCTGAGTATATTTCTTTTAGTAATCAATATTTGTTTTGGAAAATTTCTTTTATAAAATAATAAAATTGCATCAGATTTCTTCTGAATTTCTTTAAAATGAAGTTCAAAATTCAATTTATCATCTATAATTACACCTAAATATTTCATGTGATCTACTCTTTTCAACAAGGTACCATGAAATCTTAGCCTGGGTGGTCTAGTATTTTTGCCGGCCTTAGGGAAAAACATATATGAAGTCTTTCGCAAATTAAAAATCAACTTCTCATCCTCGGCCCAGTTCTTTAGAATATCACTCACCAGTTGAAAACGCTGTTCTAATTTTTCTAAAGATACATCATATATTACATATAAAATATCGTCTGCATAGCAGATCACATTTACGTATTCAGGAAGAGAAACATTTAATAACTTAAAAATAACGGCGCTCCAGAGCAGCGGAGCACTAGGCGAGCCCTGAGGGCATCCTTTATACACATTTTTAAAAATTTTAAAATCAGCATCATAAGAAAATACAACTTTTCTGTTATTAAAATAATTACACAAAATTGCAAAAATATTTTTAGGTATTTTAAAATTCTCAAGGGTGGAGAGCAATGAATTCCATATAACAGAATCAAAAGCCTTTGAAACGTCGAAAGAAACAATTATCACATGAAAATCTTTCTTCTTTTGAACTATAGTGTTTGTTAAATCATAAAGTGCATCATTTGTTGACCTTCCCGAAACAAAAACCGAACTGTCTATTTGAAATAAAATTATTCTCCAAGAAAAAATGATATAACCTATTGGTAAGCAATTTGTCCAGAACTTTTCCAAAGAATTTCAATAAACAAATAGGTCTAACTGCCTGGTCACCCTTTGGAATGAATATTACTCTTGAGATCTTCCACACTCCCGGAAAAATCGACAAACTAAAACATTTATTATAAAGTAGAAACGAAAAATTTCTCAAAATTTTTAAATAAACATTTAACCATAACAGCATGTATACAGTCAATTCCAGGAGCACTTTCATTTCTCAATTTTCCTACAACATAACGAATCTCATCTATAGAAAATAAAATATCATCAGCACCACAGTTCGGAGATGTTAAAAGTTCATCTTTAACAATACCATCCTCAGGATTTCCACAATCAAAGTTTTCCATAAAATAATCTTTAATAACATCAGAAAATTCATGAGTACTCTGCTCATCTTTCCTTATAATCATTTGGGAAGGTCTAGATTTACGTGTTGCCAACTGAAAGTAGCAATCATAGTAGTCTTTATTATCCAAAAAATGTTTCATCTTACATTAATATTTTGTCTTTTTAATCTTTTTTCGATACAGAGCCATTTCCTTTTTATATAATATTTTTCTTTCTCTTCGAGTGTCTTCATCAATTTGTCTAACTTGATAATGTTTTCTTAAAGCCCTTATTCTTCGTTTACATCTCTGCAAATCAGCGTTCCACCAATATGTCATCTCTACTTTCCTTTTAATTAAAATTAGATGTTTCTTAGCATTCTTTACTATTAAGTTTTCAAATTCCTCAACAAATTCATCAAGGATAACAGGATCATAAATTCCATCCAGTCGTTTCTCATCCGATCTATATTTGGTCTTAGTTTTTTGCAAAATTTATTCAGTCTATAAATATTCTTTGTGAACACAATATTTTTATAATATATTGGCTGGACATCACAGATTTCAAAGGAAACATACCGGTGATCGCTTAAACTTTCCTCTTCATAAATCTTCAGTTCGGTATTAAATGTCGATAATGAGGAAGAACCTAGGACTAAATCTGTCCAACCCTCCCCGACAGCAGATACAAAAGTCGGTAAAGAGTCCATTTGATTAAATAAAATCATATCATTCTGTAATATAAAATCCATAGTTAAAGATCCCCGATTATCAACTATTCTTGCTCCCCAGTTAAAATTTTTGGAATTAAAATCACCAATAATAATAAAATACTTATACATTTCCAAAACTTGTTCCAACCTTGTTAAATGTAAATGTAAATTTTCTGCAGGGGAGAAATAAACGGACACAATTCCCTAAACAAATTGATCCATCCTTAAAGAAATGGCTATAATTTCATTCATTTTACAATCGAAAATATATTCACTTTCATCATTTGTGACAATAATGGCTGATCTGCCTTTCTCATCATATATCGTTCTCCACCCTTTATTTAAATATGGCATCTTATCATCTATAAAATAAGGCTCTTGCACTGTAATTCTTACGAACAACACAGAAAATATATAAATCAAATATATTCAAAACAGTTCGTTCAGTTGCGGGCCTGCCTCTACCCGAGGCTGGGTGCATTATGAATAAAGACAAAAAATTCTTAATAAGTCATTCTTTATTTCCATCAAAACAGTATCACTCTTCCGAGATCAGCTTTCGTTCGTCTACAATTAAAACATTCCAAACACTCAGCACGCAGGCTGACGTCACAAACACCAGCGCCTCGCGCCGGTTATTACTTCAGTTCATTTCACAACAACCTCCCCCCCCCTTGAGACTCAGGTTGAGTCTCAAACTCATAACACACATTATTTAAAAGATCAAGTCTTTTTGGAACTTTTATAAGTCGTCCAGAGGAGGAATATTGTTGCATCACCATTTTATCAGGTGCAATTCCCTTTTTTAACGTACACCCAGCATTAGAATTAGATTCCTCTGTACCCAGTTTCTTATCAGGAATTATGTTTCTATCATTGGACTGTATCTCCAGAGGAAAGATGCGTTGTATTGGTCGTATAACTATTCCATGCCGGGTCTTAAGTTTAACCGTACGAATCTTTCCATCACGTCCAGGGATTAATTCTGCTTTACCTGTCCGTGGTTAAAATCTTTCTTCCGATGGTTCTGTTGGGAAGCGAAACCAGTTCTTGCTAGGAGAACCATCTCTTCCCCCTTAACTTCCTGTTTTAAGAAATTCATTAAATATTTCAAAGATCGATTTCCTTTAGTTTCAATGGAGTCGTGATTTCTGCTTCTTTCCCATGCCATCAATACTTCTTCTGGTAAGCCAACTTTCCACTAAGGGGGTCAAAAAAATCCCCATATTTTTCTTGGTTCTGTCCCCAAACTTTCCAACGCTCGCAATTTTCCTTCTAAGTTCATCATACAGGGAAGGGTAGATCCGTTTTTGCTCTTCCGGGTTACAGCGTTTCTTCATCACTAGGCTTAACAAGTCTCTCACATAGATTTGCACAAGTAAATCTTTGCGTCCAAAGCGCTCTCTTAGTTGTTCGATGGCTTTAGGATAATTAGCTGCCGTTGCCGGGAAGCTAAGGAAATAGGCGTTCTTGCTTTCGATTTGGGTTCCATGGCCTGCAAACAGATACTGCATTTTATATCTTCATCAACGATACTTTTTATCGTCGTGGATTTTCTGGAACTGACTCCAAAATGTCAGGTAATCTTTAGCTTCACCACTGAATTTTTTAAGCTCAATTTTTAGGCAATTTAAATTTCCTAGATTCGGAATTATTTGAAAGAGGAGGAGTCTTGTATTTCCGCATCTATTTGAGCACACTAGTTCTAGAAACTTATCTTCGATAATTCCTCCGCTTCTTGAAAATCATCAACTAAATAATTTTTCTCCATCTTCAGTCTGCAGAATCTGCTGCGATATAGCACTCTGGCATACGTCAAGTTTCTGGAATTTATCACAAAGTTGACACTTCAAAACCGGAAGTATTTTTAAATCTCTTACTTCTTTAGTTAATTCACTTTCGGTTTTCCTTGAGGTTTGCGAAAACGCAATTCTAAGTCCTTTTCTTTGAGCCTTTGAAGCGATCAAATCCATCTTCAAAGTATATTCAAAATCGAAATTCAATATCAAAAGTTCAATCGGAAAATTCTAATTCATAGCACCCGGTCCCACCGACGGTACCACTATATTACGAAGAACACAGAAAATATATAAATCAAATATATTCAAAACAGTTCGTTCAGTTGCGGGCCTGCCTCTACCCGAGGCTGGGTGCATCCCCTTGAGACTCAGGTTGAGTCTGAAACTCATAACAAACATTATTTAAAAGATCAAGTCTTTTTGGAACTTTTATAAGTCGTCCAGAGGAGGAATATTGTTGCATCACCATTTTATCAGGTGCAATTCCCTTTTTTAACGTACACCCAGCATTAGAATTAGATTCCTCTGTACCCAGTTTCTTATCAGGAATTATGTTTCTATCATTGGACTGTATCTCCAGAGGAAAGATGCGTTGTATTGGTCGTATAACTATTCCATGCCGGGTCTTAAATTTAACCGTACGAATCTTTCCATCACGTCCAGGGATTAATTCTGCTTTACCTGTCCATGGTTAAAATCTTTCTTCCGATGGTTCTGTTGGGAAGCGAAACCAGTTCTTGCAAGGAGAACCATCTCTTCCACCCTTAACTTCCTGTTTTAAGAAATTCATTAAATGTTGCAAAGGATCGAAGTCGCTTTAGTTTCAATGGAGTCGTGATTTCTGCTTCTTTCCCATGCCATCAATACTTCTTCTGGTAAGCAACTTTCTACTAAGGGGGTCAAAAATCCCCATATTTTTCTTGAGTCTCCCCAAACTTTCCAACGCTCGCAATTTTCCTTCTAGTTCATCATACAGGGAAGGTAGATCCGTTTTTGCTCTTCCGGTTACAGCGTTCTTCATCACTAGGCTTAACAAGTCTCTCACATAGATTTGCACAAGTAAATCTTCGCGTCCAAAGCGCTCTCTTAGTTGTTCGATGGTTTTAGGATAATTAGCTGCCGTTGCCGGGAAGCTAAGGACTAGGCGTTCTGCTTTCGATTTGGGTTCCATGGCCTGCAACAGATACTGCATTTTATCTTCATCCGCGATATTTCTGTCGTCGTGGATTTTCTGGAACTGACTCCCAAATGTCAGGTAATCTTTAGCTTCACCACTGAATTTTTTAAGCTTAATTTTAGGCAATTTAAATTTCCTAGATTCGGAATTATTTGAAAGAGAGGAGGCTTGTATTTCCGCATCTATTTGAGCACACTGTTCTAGAAACTTATCTCGATAATTCCTCTGCTTCTTGAAAATCATCACTAAATAATTTTTCTCCATCTTCAGTCTGCAAAATTTGCTGCGATATAGCACTCTGGCATACGTCAAGTCTCTGGAATTTATCACAAAGTTGACACTTCAAAATCGAAAGTGTATTTTTAAATCTCTTACTTCTTTAGTTAATTCACTTTCGGTTTTCCTTGAGGTTTGCGAAAACGCAATTCTAAGTCCTTTTCTTTGAGCCTTTGAAGCGATCAAATCCATCTTCAAAGTATATTCAAAATCGAAATTCAATATCAAAAGTTCAATCGGAAAATTCTAATTCATAGCACCCGGTCCCTCCGAGGGTACCACTATATTACGAAGAACACAGAAAATATATAAATCAAATATATTCAAAACAGTTCGTTCAGTTGCGGGCCTGCCTCTACCCGAGGCTGGGTGCATTATGAATAAAGACAAAAAATTCTTAATAAGTCATTCTTTATTTCCATCAAAATAGTATCACTCTTCCGAGATCAGCTTTCGTTTGTCTACAAGTAAAACATTCCAAACACTCAGCTCGCAGGCTGACGTCACAAACAGCAGCGCCTCGCGCCGGTCATTACTTCAGTTCATTTCACAACAGTAATCAAATCAAAATTTTTATTCAAAATATTTTGAACAGCGGCCAACTGGCAAGCTGCCACTGCACAATGATTCAGATTAATATTTAATATTTTCATATCCAAGGGAATAACAAAAATAAAACAATTACAAATATAAAATTACATACCATAAAAACAGATAAAGCAGTTAAAATAATGACAAGCACAGAAAAGACAGGCCAATCGCAGTTACAATTAATTAAAATCCAAAACAATACATTATTTTTACAATGTTTAGTGGTGTGTCCAAATTTGAAGCAACGTAAACATCTCTTTGGCCTAAGATAAAGTTTTGCTACATAGGCTTTCCATCCAACACGAACTCTGTTATCCTCTAAAACTGAGGATTGACAATGGGGATCTACACGAAAAACTCTATGAGTAACTTCACTTGATTCTTTACATTTTATCCTAAATAATGGACGCACACAGTCGCCGGAACAACCACACTCACTCCTCATTTTATCAGGAATTTCATCATCTTCTACATAGTTGCACACATTATATACAATAATTTTTGGCTGTATAAATCTTTTTTTCTGTGTATACAACTTATCTTTTAAATTTTCTTTAGAATCAATAACATTTTGAACCATATCAACTTGTTTACTCTCTTTAAATCTCATAACTAAATCACCGTTTCTTTTAACAAAAGAACTCATAATCTGTGCATCTATATCATCAGGTTTTACATTCACAATTAATTTATCATAGACATCAATTCCAGGCATCGCTGGTCTAACAACTAATTCATTTTCTTTCCAATTCTTATTATCCATAAATCTATTCTTTTTATTCTCTTGTTTATGTCCATCTTCCCGAAGAGTACTGTTAATCTCATCAATGCCTTGCTTAATGTCCAATAAAACATCCGTTTTCGAATGTATAAGATTATCTTCAATACTTCTTAAATTCTGTGCAACAAGTAATTCAACAACTTTGTGGATTCCCCTTGCCAATCCTTCAGCAATCTCACGTGAGACCCTTCTAACTTTTAATTTATCAACAAATTCATAGAGGGCCCTAACAGCAGAAAGGACGCTTCCCAATTTCTCATCATTATTTAATTTTTCATTATCACAATCCATCTTTTCTTTCGTTATATCAGAACCATCTAATATTTCACTATCAACACCTGTAAATTCTTTCTTAACATCATCTTTCAAATGACTCATAATAACAAAATAAATAAATATCGAGATTACACTACTGCGACACAGCCGTATATAAAATATTCAGAGTTAAAACATATTTACAAATCTAAAATACAAAGTAAATATATTTAAAAACAATAAAAATCACAAAAAATGGTCTGTATCACACAAAATTCAAGTTTCCAATCTCTTAAAATTCACAAAACAGAGGGAAAAATATAAACGTTCTGCGCAGAAATAAATAAATCGACCAATGGGCCGAAAAGCACACACAATAATGCACCAAAAGATCGATCAGTTATTCCTGGTAATATTCATAAACTCAGATCAAGTTTTTATCAATTGACTAAAAGTCTTAAGTAGGAAGTGCAAAACACGAAGCCTTCAAAGGTAAACAAATAGCGGCCACATTAAGCCTAACGTCACTCAAAAAGTTTAAGTGCAAATATTAAATTAAATATTCAATCAATCAGTATGCTTTTAACCATGGACCTAAAGTAAGTAATAAAGAGTCCAAAGCATAAATCAGAAGTCATTTGCACAGTAAATCCATGAAATAATAAGCAAAAATCTACTCATCGTATGCCAATGATCCGGCTAGCCCTCGCAGAAATTCCTTCAAAAATACGACTTCTAATTCGAAATAAAGTTATAAAACACAGATCGAAACACAAACGAAGTCAGAAAAACGCACTTTCACTCACTTAATTCAAATATTTACTAAGATATAAGCATTTTATTTCTCCACTCAAACAATACCATACATCATGACCGCAAGCATACCAAGCTTCAACGTTAGGAACATTAGGGTATGTATCCTTGCATAAAGTCACTATAAATATACGGGAAGAGAGTAAAAGGGGACAAAGAAGGGCGTTGCTTCTTGTAATAGACAGACTATCTAAACTGAATTGAAAATTCATAATAAGTAATATGAATTTGCATGAATACATTCACATCTTAGAAAATCTACTTTCAGAAGTCCATCGCGAAAATTACCCCCGCATAGGCAGTCAGGAACCAAGGTATTAATGCAGTTGAGGTTTCACTTAGAAAAATGTTCATGGCCGACAAACTAAAACCTTATATTCTGTGTTGCATTTCAGTTGCATCCAAACAGTGTTGCATTTCAGAAACACTGGAATGTATTTCGTTACACTAAACAATAGAATACACTCTATGCACAAAAAGAACATCTAAATAATGTGTTAGTAAACATTGAGAGCATATACTTTAGGAGTCATGGGGTCAGCCTCTTGAATGCAGCCTGAGCTGCTTGTAAATATGAATTTGCAAAATCCATAAAAACTCTGTAAGTTAAATTTTAAAAATCTAGAGCACAATTTTAAGAAAGGTGGAATACATTTTCGCTAAGGTAGAACTCTTTTGTAAGCAACTCACATTCTAAGTTACTGAAATAGAATTTTTCATTGAAACAATGTAAGTACTTTTTTGGGGAGTAGGGCTGTGTGAATCTTGACATCCTGATTTAGTGCCGTGAAGGAGATATGGGATATTTATTTTAAATAATCAGCTGTTTACTGACCGTTTCATAGTAGTAACCCAAGCAGAAGAGGAAAAGGTAATTATCGAATGAATGACTGAGGGGAAGTTATACTTTTCCTTAGTAAGGTTATAAGGTATTTCTCCCGCCTTCTTGGCATACCTTCGTGGTGGTCAGGACACTCGGAGTATATTGAGAGGTCCGTAGCTCGAGTCCCGTCGAGGGCATTGCTCATTTTCCATCTCTCCTGCTTTCAAAAAACACGAAATGTCTCTACATTGGATGATGATGATTAACCACCACCAGGATTTGGCGAATGGGTCCCCTAATCCCAGTCGCCCTTTAAAATAGAGAAATATATAAGGTATTTCTCCCGCCTTCTTGGTATGTCTTCGTGGCGAAATGGTCAGCACACTCGGCGTGTATCGAAAGATCAGTGGTTCAAGTCCCGGCGAGGGAAAGATTTTTCATCTTTTCTGCTTTCAAAAAATGCCTAATGTCTTTACAAAGTTCAATACTGAGCTTCTGTCCAGGGAAGGCTTGACCATCACAGTGTATGGCTTACATGTGATGTGTTTGGCCCGTGTAAAGTTCCAACTGAAATAATTCCCTAGTAATTTGTTCTATCAAAAAGGGGAACAAGCTTGTTAAGTATAATAATATTACTACTGAATCGTTATAAAATATTTTATTTTCTGATGACAAAAAGTTGCGTTTTCTTGGACTTTATTAATTTTTCACAAAACGTACCAGATTTCTATGTCGGAAATTTTACTTTGAAGTCTTGTGATGATATGGTTAAACAATGTTTGACGTAGCTTTGAGATGTATGCTTGATACTTAGGATGCCTTGACTTGAAGACCAAAGTGATTTGTGAAGTTAAAATAAAATTTAAAAGATATTTTTACTATTGCATATATTTTAAAAGATACTTTTGCTATCGCATATCCTTAAAAAGATATATAAACATTTTTTTTTTTCAATTTGTATTATGTTTAAACATCGAATAGAATATTTCAAAATCAATTCAACATCAAATCAGTTTTCAAGTTATTTATACAGTAAATCAGCAAATTAACCTTTTAAGTTTCGCTTCGTATTCCTCGTAAAAACTTAGTTTCTCTGATAAACTTCTTTTTCATTTATTTGCCAAATTTCTTCATATTCGACATTTACAAACTGCGCCTTCTTAATTGTTTTATAATTACATATTTTGACATTAAAACTACGTATATTTAAAAATTAGATATTTACCACTGTTTTAGAGACTGTTTTGTTTTTAGAATGAAAGTACCACTGTTTTTGTCTCTTATAGGCTAAGGCTTTGAAATCACATGTTGAATATTTGCAGAAGCTTCTAAATTATTCTTATGTCTCTGAAATGTATTCAAGTGTGAGTACCTTCTTATTTATTATTAAGTTTCCCAAACATTTTTATCTATTAAATTTAAGTATTTTTGAAGAACTTTTACCAGCGAAGTTTAATTTATGTTACAGTTAAAACTTACCGGCAAAAGTTATTTTGACAAAGTATTGGATGTGCGCGCATGGTCAAATCGTCATGCCTTGTCTGGGAATTTTTTTATTAAAGTAGGGTATGTATCATTTTAATTAATAATTTGAAGTTTCTTTCACTCATTACGATTCTGTATGACAGGAAGATTGTCAGAATTTAAAACAATGTACCAAAAACCTGACAATTGAAAATTCGGGATTATATGGCTTCCCATAGTTATTTTAAATTTTACTAAGAG